GAAGCAGCGCGACGCCTCTCAGACTAAGGCCGTCAACAAGTATCGAGCCTATCTGATTTGGCATGAGTCCCTTGTCGCGGCGATCATCAGCCTGCGACAGGCTCAGGAGAGCATCCCACGTCCTGCTGCGACTCCGTCGTCGTCTGGGAAGGCCAAGGTATGATTCCCGGTCCTTGTCCAGATTTTCTTACGGATATTGTTGCACAGGCCGAAGACCCTGTTCCTGAGGCTTCAGGCTCAACTCCTGCCATCGACATTGATTCAGACGTCGAGATGGAGGCCCCCACTCCTGTTCAAGAGAAGGTGCGTCCGTCTTGAGTCTTTGCCGAACACAGGTTGATTATTCTCAGACCCCGCAACTATCTACTCGCAAGACCGTCGCAGGACGGTCCGGTTCTCGATCGGTCGACGGTTCTGGTCATGACGACTCCGTAGGGCTCGCGGACGTCTATGGGACTATCATTCGACTCATAGACGAGCACGATAGGTCGATGCGTCTTCTCAGCGCCAAAATGTCGAAGCTTCACGCGGAGCAGATGGAGGCTCTAGGGAGCTGTCTCCAGAGTTTCCAGACGTGAGTTTCACTCAGTCGCGGCGACTACACTTCTGACCAATTACCCAGCCATCGTTCGTTGTCACCGGCTCGAAGAGGCAGCGACTCAGCAACAGTACCACTGATGCGACCCCGGGTGAGTCTCGCAGTTCCACCTCCTGTCGCGACACTTCGCTAACCGATTGGCAGCGTCCGCGTCCGACCGAAGGTTTATTGCGGACCGAGTGCACCGACATCAACTGTACCGATTGCGGCGGTCCATTCCACTCGAGCTCCTCATCGAGGAACGCGACTACGTCACGTCGCGGCTAGAGGAATGGAAGACCGCGCTCAAGGACGTCAAGGAAGCCATTGACCTCTCGATGTCGAAGAATGCGGCCTAATCTTTTCATATTTTGTTCTATATGCACTCTCCTTCCATATGTCTCTCTTCTCTCATGTCACTTATTTATGAAGTCGCGTCTTTTCTTCTCGCGCACCTCCTTATGACCTTTTTCTTTTAGATACAACCCAGTATAGTCCTTAGGTACCAGCTAGCACCCAAGCAATAGAATGAATTCTGTCTAAAACTGAGAGAAGCGACGTCTTGTCGTGCGAGAGCCTGCCGCGACAATTGCTTGTTTGTCAGACTTTCACTCAACAGAAGCTGGATCCTCTACAGGGTCGTCGTCGTCGTCACTATCCGAGTTCTTGAGTTTCACACCTTCGAACTGGTAGTCGCGGACGTCAGATATTTCCTCCACCAACTCATCAAGTTTAGTAGGCGAAATATCTATCAGCTTCTTTATATCTTCAGAGAGTGTCAACTTCTGTCTTGCCAAATAGGGTATTACTCGGAACGCCGCGACTTTCGCATGGAACATCGCACCGTTCATTTCACAGACCAAGTAAGAACCTCCTTTGGTCTTTCGAACTACAATCATGGGCCCAAGATATCTCGCTTTCATCTTGTTGTCCAGTGATTTTTCAATAGCTGTGTTCCTGACCAACACTAAGTCCCCTGGTACAAAATTGTAATCTTTGATCACATGCTTGTACTCGAGTTCGTAGCGTTGAACCATCTTTAGTTTGGACTCGCTGACGCGGCTGCGCATATCTTCAATATGGTCGGCGTGTTTCGCTAGAGCGCGTGCCCTGAGACCAATGAGATCCGCAGAGTCAACGATCCGGTCAGGATATTCGACTAGCCACGTAGCTTCGACTATATCCAGAGGGATGGTAGGGTGGGCCCCACATACTGCGAAGTACGGTGAGCAACCCAGCCCGCGACGCACTGTAATTCTATCTGCCCACAAGACCTGTGGGAAGAACCAAAACCATTTGGAGGCGTTTCCCCCTGTAGCTTTGTACAGTGACTGCCGAACGTCCCAATGACCTCTTTCAACAGTGCCATTAGCTTGGGAATTGTAAGGAGATATCCTTATTCCCTTGATACCATATTTCTTCTGTAACCAGTTCAACGCCGCGACAAATTGTCCTGCGTTGTCGGTTACAATCCACTTAGGGCACCCCCAGCGACACACTATGTCTTCGAGCAAGAAACGCGCTATTGCCTTGGCGTTGTCAGCCTGCAGCGGTCGCGCTTCCACGTAGCGGGTCAAAGAATCCCTTGCCGCGACGACATATCTGTATCCGTTGGAAGGCGTTCCCATAATCATGACGTCCGTATGTATCTTCTGAAATACACTTGGTGTCATAGTCGGCGTCGGTGGAGTGCGGAGGAGAGTTTTCTGGCGGACTTGGCAGCTATGACAAGTCTTTATCCACCAGTCGACGTCTCTTTCCATCTCTGGCCACCAAAACCGAGTTTCCAACAGGCTCTTAGTGCTGAAAAGACCCTTATGACCCAGCGCGTCGTGACACGCCTTCATCATATAAGTCCTGTGGTGTTTGTCCACGACCAGTCTATGAATCCCATTGGTTGATCTCTTGTACATTTTTCCATCTTTGAGGAAAAACTGTCGCGAGAATTTGAGAAACGATCTGAACCGTTTATCCGTCATTTCAGGCCTTACAGAAGTGTCTTTCAGCCACTTCCTAGCCATTACCAACTTATTGTCCTGTTCGATCCCTGTGCCAGTCCGGTGATCCTCAATATAGGGATCCTCTGGATTGTCGCGCAGTTCAAGATCAGGCAAAAGCGGTTCTCCGTTTGCCACATCGTTCAACATGAAGACTGGGACGACGAGCCCTTGAGCGTCATATGCGTCTTTGACACGCCGATTCTCAGCGCGACGAGAGTCGCAAGCTTCGACTAGCTCTTTGGATATGTCGTCGACCGACTCAGCACACCCGACCATAGAGTTAAGGTAGCCACCTCTAGTGTCAATATCCCTTTTGAACTCTTCAAAGTCTAATGGTTGTTCTGTGTCGTAGTCCCAATTCTCGTTGTTCTCTGGTGGTGGCTCGTCGAAGATTTCCTCTTCGTCATTGGGATACTCTTCATCTCCAGGTGCAGGTCGTCGTCGCGACAAGCCATCTGGTGAGAAGGTGATTCCTCTGACATGTTTCAGGGTAAACTGAAACATGAGGATCTCCTCAGCCCAACGGTTGATATTTGCATTTGGTAGGTTACCAACGTTCCTTAGCATGCCTGCCAAGTACAACGCGTCGGTTTCGACTACCAATTTCCTACAACCAAGAAGCCAGTGAGCCATGGCTTGAAGCACGCGCTTCACACCATAAAGTTCACGCTTCGGTTGAGAAAACCTAGCTTCTCTTTCTGTAAGTGGGATACTCCCAAATTTCGCGTAATAGACCTTCTTTGGATCATCTGGGTCGCGCTGGTAGATTTCGAAACCCGTGGCCATCCAGGATGTGTTTATTGCGACGACAATCTCAGAGTCCCATTTGTAGTTCAGAGGCTTAAGCGACGGACAGACTTATATCACATCCTTGAGCCTTCGAAATGCTAGTTTCTGTTTATCACCCCATTCAAAATGCGCGTTCTTGTTCACTAGTCTCTGAATCGGTTGCGCCATCTCAGAAAATCCTCTAATGAACATTCGCATGACCCCAATCGTGCCCATAAATTGTCGAACCTCCGAGACGTCTCTCAAGTCTGGCCAACGCGTGATCACACCAACCCTGTCCGCATCAGGTTTTCTACCCTCAAACGAACAGATATGGCCAACCACAGCGAACCCGTCGGCGCAAACCACCGACTTGGTACCAGACAGAGTCGCGCCACAGTAGCCGATTCTGTGCACGACGCGGTTCACATTCTGAAAGTGTTCCCATACGAAGCGACGGATCCCCGGATTTTCTGGAATCGTTTCACAGGTTCCATCGGGTAACAGATACCTGGTCCCAGGTCCTCGAACGGGTACGTCGTCGATGTATGGAATAGTAACATGAGGGATTTCGTCTTTCAAAATGAAAGTAACGTCCTCATGGAATATGGGCACTGAGTTGGTCCATCCTTGTGGGAGTTTGACCAACCTCAGCGCACCGAACGGTGACTGGAATGTAGTCAAGTCGCGACTAGCTGGATCGATGTCACGCTGGTCGTAGCCTGAGTACAGATCTAGCGCAGCACCACAAGCGCGACCGGCGAAGTGGTTTGCTAACTCCTCTGTCGTGGGTGGCAATCCTGAATGCGCGATAGTTATTGCATTGAGTGGTTCTAGTGAGTGCACTAGTCTGATACTCTTCCCATCCTTCTTAAGTACAGCAAAGAACTTGCTTCGATAAGAGGAATTGGAAGGCTCGTAGACCTGAGCCGCAATTTTGTCTTTGATGACCTTGCACACTTGGTCGAACATGCCGCGAGGTATAGGAATATTCCCTTCGCGATATGCTGTATGGGGAACTGTTGCGATCTTGACTGGAGGAAATATATCCTGTCTCAATGCGCCACGCTCTTCATCGTTGAACGCGAAACTCTGATTGTGAAGCATATAGAAGTGCATGAGCAACTTCCGTTCTTCTGGTAGTAAGAAGTCCCCTTTGTGTAGCTTGTCCACAATGTCCTTGCGTTCCGCCGTGAATGTACCAGTTGGGGTAAAATCAGGTGGTCGCGGGTTTAGAGTAGGTAGCGTATCCAAAGGATCTCCAATCATTTCTCGAATTATTCGATCGTCCTCAGAACCCATAGTGTACACTGGTCTGACTTTCTGGTCCACAGGTTTGTATTTCTTTCCTGCGAACACAGAGTATTTGTCGCGACTAGAAGAGTCGTCGTCTAGTACACTCCAAGTACCAACAGTCAGTTTTTCCGTTGCCGCGTCTGAGAGTCTTTCATTCATATATGAATGAAACAAAGTCGACGCAGCGACGTCTTTCTCCATTTCCTTGTCCTCTTTCGACGACAAGATATATGCTTCTACTAGCTCAGTTTGGGTAAACTGGCCACTAGAACGCGGCTTTCTTAGATCCTCGAACACTACATTCCCATCTTTTCCCAACGACACAGTCACCGCGACTTCTTCTCCTTGACTCAACCGGGTCAATTCCTCGAAGCTCTTTGAAAATCCCGTTCAGGGTTCGGTTCGTCTGGACTGGTCGTCGGTTTCGACAAACTGTAGGGCTCGGTAGATCCGTCGTTGTTTTTGGTGTTACGTGGCAAGTCGTCTGCACGACGTGGCTGCGTAGCCATTGCACAACGTGTCTTTAAATTGGGATCGCGCATGGTGATTATCTGGCTGCCATCGGCCGCGTTCTTGACATTGCTTTCTGTCGCGATATCAAACGGCCTGCCGAGCAACACCTTATAAGCTGGACTTTCCAAAATGTGCACCTGCAGGTAGACCAAGATGGTCCCAAACCTGAAGGGTACATTTCTCGCTAATCCCAGTGACTTAGAGATAGATCCATTTGCGCTTTCCATATATATGACGACCTTTGGGTCCCAGCTCAATTGTGCGTCGACGGCTTCTGAGAAAGCCATCGATACAATCTGAGATCCACTGTCTAGGATGCAGTCCGCGTCGAGACGCGCGTTAATCCGTCCGTTTATCGTTCTGAGAGCAGCCGACGAATCACCAACATAGACATGCCTTGGGTTCTCATTAGAGGGTATTGACTCCAAGTACATCTCATATGGGTCCGTCGCGACAACTGCGCCAATGGGAATTTCTCCTTCAACTGTGTTATGATAGAACACAGGCTCGGGCAATTCCTTAGCACTGACTAGGTTGTAGCTCAGTTCTCCATCCCAAACGTCTTCAACGACGCGACCAGTTTCTTGAAGCATGGACTTCTGAACCGGTACTCGTTTCTTCGAAGAGTCCTTCAGAATGGAGTCGCGGACAGTTCCCGAAACTGCTAGGAGTTCACCCACAGTGACGTCGACTGACGCGTTTTTCATTTTGTCGTAGACTGCTTCTGCCACAGCCTTCTTTTGAATCGGTGCACGCAACTGGTATTTATCTGGAACGCGCGCTTTTGAAGAATGTACTGGTTCTTGTAGAACGCGCTTGACTTTCTCAAACGGTAGTTCCTTTCCCTTTTCGACGTTGTCGCGCACTGATTCCTCATCATCGTCGCTATCACTAACTTCTTCAATAGTCACAGGTTTTCTCGGTTTCTCTCGTCGCTCAGCTCGTTTATCATGGTCCTCAGAGGGCTTGGCTGAGTTTGTGGGTTTAGCCCCCTTCCTTGAACCATTTAGAAACCCGAGCTGTTATCGTCGCGTTCAGGTTGGCTATTCGCACCACGACGGGTTTGAATGAACTGCTCCTGAGTCTGAGGATAACCACTGTTCATGTTGTTGAAGTAGCCGGCCATGGCGTCGGTGTTGAGCACTGGGGAGAGCGTCTAGCAACCCACCTGTGTGAGTTGAGAGCTTAGTGTGGGCACTATGCGGGAGTAGTCAAGAGACTTGTATTAAAGGGTAATAGAGCCCTCCTTATATATGATACAGGGGGCCGTTTGTGTCTATTTGGGACGAGTCGATATGACTCTAGATGACACGTGATGGAGCCATAGATATGTATCACGACATCCATCTTGACAGATGATATTTGATCAACACTCCCCCACGCTGAAAACCACGGGATAGTGTTTGAAAGCGAATCTTCATCGGCCATTCCTTCAGGACGAGTTGAACTCAAGTCCTAGTTGGGACCTGAACTTCTCGAACTTGACGCGTCCTAGGTTCTTGGTGAACATATCTGCAGGATTCTCACTGCCCGGAATAAAGAACAGTTCAACCTCTTCTTCCTCAACTCGCTCACAAATGTAGTGATAGCGGATGTCTATGTGTTTCATCCTGCGGTCTCGGTAGGCATTGCTGCCACTGAAGAGTGCACCCTGATTGTCACCGCAAATGGGTACTGGGATGGTGAGTTTGAACTGGAGTTCCGAAAGGACACTCTTCAGCCACATCACCTGGCGACTACAATCTGAAATCGCCATGTATTCTGCTTCGGTCGAAGACTGCGCGACAGTGCGCTGAAGCCTAGACTGCCAGCAAATAATCCCGTCTGCCAATTTCGTGAAGAAACCAGTGGTAGACCTCCTCTTGATCGGATCAGCAGCCCAGTCTGAATCGCTAAATGCAATTAGCCCTCTATCCGTCGCACCATTAAAAATGAGCGAATAATTCCTAGTACCAGCCAAATAGCGGCAGATATACAGCGCTTTATGGAGGTGGTCTTGGGACGGATTGGCGGCAAATTGTGACAATTTGGTCACAGCAAATGCAATATCAGGACGTGTGCCTAGCATGATGAAGAGAAGAGATCCAATGACTGATTGGAATTTCTTCCTGAGCTCTGGATCGACTTCATCCTCATTTGGCATTGGAACATATCCAGCCAGTAGAGGGGTCGCTGCGAACTTGGCGTTCTGCATCCCAAAGCGCTCTAGCACCTTGTCGAGATAAGGAATCTGATCAATCTTGATCGAAGATCCTACTCTACTGAGGCGCACGCGCAAGAACTCTGGAGTATCTTCAGAATTGCGGCATTCCCATCGCTTGTTGAACTCAGCCTTGAGAAAGGCGAGGAGCTTCTTGTTCTTGGAGAAGAACAGTGCATCATCCACGTAGACTATTATGATGGCTATGCTGCCATCAGAGTCCTTGTAGAAGAACACGCCGGCATCCGATGTTAGTCGGATCCAGCCCATGGCTTTCGTGGACTTGGTCAGCGCTTTCCACCATGCTAAAGCAGCTTGTTTGAGTCCATAGATTGCCTTGTGCAAGCGCATGACTTTGCGCTCTTGGCCTCTCGCCACAAAGCCTTCGGGTTGTTCCATGTAGACCTCTTCGTCAAGCTCTCCGTAGAGAAAAGCCTTACTGACATCGAGTCCAGACCAATGCCAATCATTGAGCGCTGCAAGCGCCATGACCAACCGGAACGTCTCATACCTAACAACAGGAGAGAATATCTCGTCATAGTCAACACCTTCGACTTGACTGAAACCCTTGGCAACTAGGCGGGCACGTTTTCGGCCATCAGATTTTTGGTCAAAGACCCAGCGACATCTGATAACCTTCCGTCCTTTCGGGCGGTCCACAAGGGAATAGACCTTGCGCTGACGAAGTGCCTCTAACTCGTCGCGGCAAGCATCAATCCAACCTTTCTGTTGTTCAGAAGGCAACCGCTTGATATCGCGGAACGTCCAATCGCGAATTTTGGACGTATCAGGTAGGTTCTCATTTGGAACCGCTTTTGACAGCAGCGCCGTGATGAGCTCTACTCCCCCTTCCCGGCATAGCTTCTCCATGCGTGCATCCTCGTCTAGATCATCAGAAGCACCCGCGTTTGAGGAATCTGGTTGCGAGCTAGGGCCGGGAACCCCTGCATCAGCACCGGTTGATGGTTGAGATTGGGAGCTACCCTTATCTTCACCAACATACCGCTTCCATCCTCTGCTGTTCTGAATGTCACGGACTATATCCGTAGGGGTACGCTTTTCCCCATAGACGTTTCCTGGACGTGTAGGCACATTCCGCTGGCGTGAAGACCTTCGAGGCTCAGGAGCTGGTGAAGCTTCCCGACTTGGTCGTGGAATTCTACTTCTACGAGTCCTCTGAGGTTCATCCCGACGCTCTGGCGGTGGGTCCTGACGATTATGACCGTCGTCACCATCATCATTTCCCTGTACGGGAGGTGGTGGAGCCGGATCAGATGGCATGGGAAATGGAAAAGGATTATCTCCATATAGCCAATCTTCTCCGTCTACCTGTGGTGGATCTTGTGGATTCACTGGGTCATCACGTTCTGGAAATTCCTCTCCAACAGGAACGTGGGGTGGTCGATTGCTGTCAGGACAGCGGGGGAACAACTCCTCGTCGAACAATGCCTTGGTGGCGACGAACGTGGAATTGTTTGTGCGCATGAACAAAAATCCTTTCACACCATCAGGAATGCCCAAGTAGGTCATCAGCTCCGATTTGGGCGATAACTTGTTGGCGCGCTTCTCATCAGGGATAAAGACATATGCAGCGCAACCAAAGACTCGGAGTTCGGAAACATCCGGTTTTTCCTTGTGAAGAGCTTCAAATGGAGTTTTCCATTTTAGACGCCTGATAGGTGTCATATTGTAGATCCGTGTCGCATGTTTGATAGCGAATTCCCAATAAGAATTAGGAAGACAGGCAGTGAAGCGCATGGCTTCTGCCTTATCCATGATCGTACGATTGAAGCGCTCGGCATGCCCATTCTGCTGGTGAGCATATGGAGCACCCTTCTCCACTAGAATTCCTTGTTCCGCGAGAAATTCTTCCATTCCCATCCCCATGAATTCTCCCCCATTGTCAATATGCCACTTTTTGATGGTGACATTGAACTGGTTCTTGACCATCACAATGAAATTGCGCATAGCCTGCTTGGCATCGGATTTCTGCGCAAGGCATACTGTCCAGCCATAGGAGAGTGCTTCGTCGAAGAAGCTCATGAAGTAGCGGTACTTGTGATAAGACACCGTGGGAAATTGTTTGAGATCCGAGTGGATCAAATCAAACGGATTCTCCGCTCGTTTTTCGGAAGGCGGGAAGGCACGTTGGTGCATTTTCCCTTGCGCGCATCCTTTACACGGTCGGGTTTCCTCGGGAAATACTAGGTCTTCTGGAAAGCCCTTGGTATTCTTTTTTGCCTGACGTAAAACGTCTTTCGACGGATGTGCAAATCGCCGGTGCATGATCTCATAATCCACCTTGTAAACAGTGGACATAGATCGCACTGTCTCAGCCGTACTAGGCTTTGACATCAGGAAGTACAAGGCAATGTCCTTCCCTAGAGTTCTAAACTCCATGATCGAGAGTGGGGACTTCCCTCGATGTAAGCTGATCCGCGATTCGTCTCCACGAACGCAAGATCCTCCTTTGAGTAAGGAGCCCAAAGACATGAGACGACCATGTAATCCTGGCACTAGGTACACTGGATATATCTGAGAAGTCACCATTGTCTTTTCTCCATGCCTTGTGACGTAATGATCGATGAAGGCTGTTCCTCGACCAATAAGGGCAACACGTGTGTTCTTATCAGCGGTCTGAGCAACAATAGGATCTGAGAGCTTCTCATATCCGACCAGATCACTAATCTCCGATGTCACATGGAGAGATGCACCTGAATCAAGAAGCCATAGAGGCCCTAATTCATGATGATGATGTTTCCCCTTACACTTAGAGCAGGCAGCAAAATCGGAGTGCACACAGAATAGATTGGTACAAAAATCATGCGAACGAATCATCAACGAATTAAGTACAGAACCCGGGGCGGCGGTGATTACGCGCTCTGGCTGTGAGCAACAATCAGAATTGTGCATGTGCCCAAGAAGGCAGGGTACTTGCCTTTCGGCGGAAGGAGCGTCCATCTCCTCCAGAAGGGTGTTGAAGTCGACGACTTCATCCCAATTGACCGGTTCAGCCTGGGCGAACTCGCTATCTCCAAACAGAAGATCAAGATCGTTCTGTTGGCCGGTGGCCATCTCGACGTCGGGGATCTCCTCGATACGACTGCGTTTGGCAGGAGGACCACCATCCAGCGTGTGATTCGAGCCAGAAGCAACCGGAGATGGAGAACGCATAATTGCGTCCTCGCGGAGCATTCCTTTCTCATTGACAATCTTGTCAAGAGTCCGGAAGCGTTCTGCGGTCACCGTCACATCCATCTTCTTGGCCAGCTCGAAGACCTTACGAGTAGGCTTCTGGAACTCGGTGTCAATTATCCCATTGTTGTTAACGGGAGACTTCTCTTGAACCGCGCGGATTTTGGGTCCATCGCGAGAGATGTGCGTGACATGCGAGATCGTCGGCGCAGGGATAGACGGAGTGAGCGAGGCGATCGAACCGATAGTGAGGGAGCCAGTGATCTCGGAGACTCCATGGACATGACTGTGATCAGCCTTGCCCTTGCCCTTGTTGTCCTTGTTCTTCCCACTGCGCTTGCCTCGACGGTTCTTCTTCTTTCCATCAGCCTTATCACCCTTATCGGGTGCAGAGCCAGAGCCCTGTTGCTGATTGGTGAACGAAGGGTCATCGCGCTTGCGCTTGGTATTGAACTTGGCCACATGATTCTGGCTTTGAGACTGCTTCTGAGCGAAATGCGTCAAGAGAGCGTCACGAACCGCCGAGACTTTGATCTCGTCCTTTTCATAGGTCTGGAGAACAGTCTCTGTGACGGAGGGAATCCGGGCTATGTTGAGAATGATCATCGCTCTGAGGAAGTCAGGGATGCTCAAAGACTCATTCTCCAGGCGAGCGAACGCCGTAGTGATCACCAGCAGCTGTGGATCCGGGTGCAACCCCACGTTGTACTTGGCGTTCAACGCGGTTTGGAAGTACGCGTACAGGTCGGCGCACTGAGCACCACCGTATTGGGTCTTCAGGTGCTCCCAGATCTTGGCAGCTGACACTATGTTGGCGGTTGGAATGTTGGCAATGACTCCCTCAGTCAGGCGCAACTTAATGCTGCCCTTTGCCCTGAGATCATCATGCTTCCATTGCTTGATCTCCGATGCGTTGGTCACAGAGCCATCCGTAGCCTTGACTTCGGTTGGCGCGGTCTCGGTCAGCACGTATGAGATCCCCTGATGCTCCAGATAGGACTCCATAGTTCCGGACCAGACAAGCCAGTGTTTTCCATCAAAGATGGAGACAGCATTGAAGATGTTGTTGGAGTTGGACGACATGTTGATCTGTGTGAGTGATCAGCATCAATCTAATCTGATAGATAAAATCAAAGATAAAGATGATCAGATCCTCATAGATCATAATCTCCTTTAGAGATCGATGCATCTGGATCAAGCGATGTAATCGCGATCCGGCATGGTTTCACCAGCGCTGTGCAGCAGCTGAAGTGAATACAGATAGGCTAAAGACGCTGCTCATCGTTGCAGCCAGTGACGGCGCATACAATGAATGTCGCGGCCATTGAGGCGCAGACATAGCTCTCGGGGCCCATAACCTGTTGAGCACTGGGGAGAGCGTCTAGCAACCCACCTGTGTGAGTTGAGAGCTTAGTGTGGGCACTATGCGGGAGTAGTCAAGAGACTTGTATTAAAGGGTAATAGAGCCCTCCTTATATATGATACAGGGGGCCGTTTGTGTCTATTTGGGACGAGTCGATATGACTCTAGATGACACGTGATGGAGCCATAGATATGTATCACGACATCCATCTTGACAGATGATATTTGATCAACAGTCGGTCATGGCTTTCTGCATGAATTGGCCCATGGCACTTTCCATTGCATTGCTGGTTGAACCAGATGCAGTCCTTTGAGTCTTTGGCTCAGCGTGACTCTCTGGAGTTGGCCGCGACGACTTCCTCTTGTATTGGATGAGTTGACTTCGAAGGGAGCGTATTTCATCTGCCACTTCTTCAGGGTAGTCGGACATATCATCATTGTCGCGACTATCGAACTGATCCAAGTAGTAGGAGTCTTGGAAGTTGACGGATTTGCCCTTCTTCTTCCAGTAAGCCTCTACTCGTTGTCCCTGAGTCCCTTCTCCATTTGGTAGGAAACTGTCGTCGAAGAGCCTCCACATCCCTTTGGTGTCGACTTTGAGAAGGTTTTTCTCAATGTGAGACCTCTTGAGCGGGCACTCGTTTGACCAATGACCAGTTTGTCCACAGTAGCGACAATCGTCGTTCCGTGCGGCAGCTCCTCCTTGTGCGCGACTTTCAAAGTGGGGCACAGAAGAGTTGTTGCCTACTGGCCGCGACCGCTGTATGGGCGCTTCGCGAGCAGTCTGTACGAACGTCTTCAGCGCTTCCTGCAACTGAGTCTGTAGCTCTTTTTGGTGTAGAAGAAATGAGTCCTTCAAGTTGGAAATCGAGTTTTCCAACTCCTCAACCTTAGCATGGTTGGGTGGACTAGTCTCATAGTCGAAGCGAACCTTAGGAGGCCGCGCGATTATGGGAATTTCGTCTTCGTTACTCAACGTCAACGCCATTTCTTCCGCCATTGTCATTAATTCTTTTAGCTGGATGGGGTCGTCCTGCCGGTTGACTCCAGTCGCGGGGACATTAGCGTTTGCTATCCCGGCGCGAGTTTGGTAGCGTTTATTGAATACTTGACTCGTAGCCAAAGCGTTCCTCAAGACGGTACTGAACTCAGAGTCCAAAGTACGCATGTAGCGTTCACACGCGACTTTGTTGGTGATAATGGCAGGAGGGACTGACAGTCGCTTGTAGTGACTGTACATTTGAAGGCCGAAACGCTTCAAATCTCCCTCATCCGTTATCTTTATTCCACGGTTCTCGCGACAGAGTCTATCTAGATCTGCCATGGTCCCAGTTTTTCGCTTGGATACCTCAGGGTATCCTTTTAATATTTCGGCCTCGAACTCTGCGACAGTTTTTGTGTCGTCGGAATAGGTATTGAGACCTTCCCATACGTCCATTACTTGCCGCGACGGCAAGTAACGAATGTACATGCTTTTTGCTTGTTTGGCATCTGTGATGCCACCATCCTCCACGATCTGCGCGCAGTGACGCAAATATGCCTCAATCGACAGGGGATCCTTTTCATCAAGTATAGGTCTACTTGTGTCCCAAGGTTGAGGGATTTTGAACCCAGTCTTTGGAGCCATAGTTGTCGCGACTGAAGTCACAGGGGAAGTAGGGATGTTGTTAGAATTCGCGTTTGTAGCAGTGACGCTACTAGACAATTCTGAGAGGGTTTGTGAGCTAGTCTGAGATCGACTGATTGTCGTCGAACTCGAAGTAGCCGCGTCTAAAGCTGGAAGCTTCGACGGCGAATTCACTCTTTGTTTTCCTTTTGCCTTAGAAGGCAAGGGTGGTAGATACAAGGGTGTTTTATGTCTTGCAGACCTTCGTGGTTTTTCGAAAGGTCCTGAAGTTGAAGCGTTTCCTTCAGTCTCAATCTCCGCTTGGTCCTCAAGAGGTCGCGCAGGAGCTTGGGATCGAAATAAACTGCTTCGCGGGATAAACCCTTGGTCTCTATCCGACGTCGCGGTAAAGAATCCGGTTTATTGATTTTTAAAGTTTATGAAACTTTAGAAGCCCCTCGCGGTGGGCTCCAGATGAAATGCTGAGGGCGTGCTCACAAGTGAATCTACTATGAAAGTAAACCCAAATATAAACACGTTCACACTCCTCGTAATCAGCTTCTCAGTGTGTGAAAGATGCGAGGGCTTCGGGGTGGACAGAGCACCAGTATCACAACTCTCAATAGACGCAGATCCAATAGTCGCGGAGACGGAGTCGACGACAAGGATATATATATAGCAAAACAATGGTATCTCAACCAATATCTTCTATACGAGCACAACCAACACTAATACAATCCACAACCAACGATATAACAAGTCAGAGCTCAATACGAAGTATTAAGATCCCTTGTAGCGACAGCGTCCAGATGGTGACGCAAAGCCCAAATATCAAGTCGACGCACTGCCAACTGACCAAAACAACCCGAGCACAACTAGTCGACGCACTGCCAAGCTAGAGGTGTGGAACGATCTCAACAAAGCCCGAAGGCGACGACACTAAATGCCGCGACAATACCAGATGCGGCGAATCCGACTTTCTGATGTCTCAACTCAAACTCAAATCACAGTAGCTACAAGTGCTCAGGGAGCAACTCGTCGCGACCGGGCAGGGGTAGCAGGACTTCTTAGGGTGGAATCACGCGGCACGCAAATTGTACAAAACAATCTGAAATGAGAGTGATTCACAGTCCGGGGGAAAGCTTTTTAATACAAAGAGACGACGTGCTACTTATACTGTCTACGACGCTGCTTAGTAAAGTCCTGTACAACTGCATAGTAGCTACGCTATCTAAGATCGGTTGCCTTTTAGGGTAATTGAAAAGTTGAACGATCGGACAGGTCCTGAGTGATCAGGACCCCGCCCCATAGTCCATATGATACTTTTGATGTGGGCCAACTCACCGCGTCATACTTTTGGAATACGACGTGCTGGATTGGCCAACGGGTATATCTTGGCATGTGAGACCAACGTGGGCGCCCCAAGAAGCCGTATGGCTCTAGGCACGCCAGTCGTCTCCCACATGGCTCGGTTCACGGATCTAGCCGTATCGATTTTAGTGTGTTTGAGTATGGGCGCGACTCGCCGTGACACTTGGAAGCGTCACCGCGACGCGTCCACAATGTCCCGTGATCGAATGGATCCTGACATGTGACAAGTCGTCGTCGTGGCATGATCTGAGGAAACGTCCAACTCAAAACCGGGAGTTGCCGCGACAAGATGGTTTAAGTCTCGTAACGCCAAGTCCTGTCCAGTAGTAGTTCTATTATTGAGAACGTCGCGCATTGCTCAGTCCTTCAGCCCAAGTTCCCATCTGCAGGGAATGAGCCTTTTTGAGAAGTCGACGCAACGACAGATCCCTTTTGGGGAATGGTCGCGGTCCAAGCGTTCGTCACTAATGGCCCTGAGCCTGGTGTAGACCCATAAGACCAGTTCCACAGTAGTGGTCTGACTGCCTTGCTATCGTCGACACTATCCACAGTCGTCGACTGGGCAGTAGACCCTTAAGTCCTACTGAGCGCAACACTGTCAACCGCGACACGATACACCGAGTGGTTCAGGAGTAAACTCTGTAAAGCGCAAAAATACGCCCTTACAGAGCTGGTGCAGAGCGCGTCTGGTAGCCAGCCTATCATCGGACAACGCAGACGTCACACTGCTGCGCCCGGAGCTGTTCCATGTCCGGGCCTTAGAGCGTCTCACTGTCTCTGGACCCGAGGCCCCTCTCCTGTGCGACATCCGGGAGGCCCTCGCCGGTACCCCCGACATGGAGGAGCCCATTGTGTTGGCAGCACGTGAGCTCCTCAAGGAACGCGGAGTTTGCTCTGCTCGGGCTGCGGAGTGGCAAAAAGAAGGCGGCCTGCTCTACTTCCGTGGCAAGCTGGTGGTTCCACGCAACAACGACCTCCGCCGACGCATCCTTGAGCAGCACCACGACACCCGCGTCGCAGGGCATGCCGGCCGCTTCAAGACGTTGGAGCTGATCTCTCGGAACTACTGGTGGCCCCAGTTGTCTCGACATGTTGGCCGGTATGTGGCCACCTGCGACCTGTGCTGCTGAACCAAGGCGCTCCGCCAACTCCCAATCGGGGAACTCCATCCCACGGAGGTCCCTTCGGAGCGCTGGGAAGCGGTGTCGGTTGACTTCATTGTGCATCTGCCAGACGCTCACGGGTATGATGCTATCATGGTCGTTGTTGACATGCTTGGGAAGCGGAGCCACTTTATAGAGTGCCATACCCGGCTCTCCGGTGAAGGTGCCGCCAGGCTTTTCTACAAGAACATCTGGCGCCACCATGGGCTGCCGTCTAAGTATGTCTCTGACCGCGGCTCCCAATTCATAGCAGAGTTCACACAGGAGCTGTGGAAACTCATCGGGGTCTCATCGGCAATGTCTACCGCTTGGCATCCACAGACGGACGGCCAGACCGAGCGTGTGAACCAGGAGCTTGAGCAGTTCCTCCGGATCTTCACCAGCTACAACCAGGACGATTGGGACGAGCTGCTTCCCGCTGCAGAGTTTGCCTACAACAACCATATTCACTCATCCACGCAGCAGGTCCCGTTCATGACAGATACCGGTCGACTCCCTCGTATGGGCTTCGAACCGAATGGACTACGCTCAGCTGTGAACGAGTCGGCAAACGACTTCCGCGACCGCATCGCGTCTGGAGTGGCAGAAGCCAAGTCGGCACTGGTGAAGGCAAAGGATGAGTACAAGCAGTACTACGACCGCCGGAGGGTCTCAGCTCCAGACATCAAGGTCGGAGATCGAGTCTGGCTTGACGCTTCTGACATAGCAACAACGCGCCCGTCCCTCAAACTCTCTCACTGACGGCTGGGTCCCTTCAAAGTCACCCAGGTTGTTGGGCGCGGCGCTTACAAGCTTGACCTCCCTTGCTGCCTCTCTGGTCTTCACCGGTCTTCCCCGTTGTCAAGCTGCAGCTCGTTGAGGACGACCCGTTCCCAACACGCCCGGCTCGCGAGGAGCCGCCACCTGTCATGGGCCAAGGAGCTGGCGAGGAGTGGGAAGTCGAAGAGGTCCTGGACGCCAAGATGCGCTACCGGAGCATTTGGTACTTCGTGCGGTGGAAGGGCTACAATTCGTCGCACGACCAGTGGGTTAAGCACTCTGATATCTTCGCAGAGGACGCTATAGCGGCATTCTACCGCAAACACCCCAACAAGCCACGCATCATTGCCGCCGCCATCTTCGACTCCCTTCCGTTCCAGCACCCCTCTGCCACCATCCGCACGTTGCGTCGAGGCGCCGCAATCCAAGGGGGGGGTGATGTCAGGGGAACCCCCGCTTCGGACCGCTCTGCCTTCGATCAGGCATGTGATCGCGCTCGCGTGACCTGTCAGCTGTCACGCGCCGCGGCCCGGACTGCCACGCCAAGCGCTTCTCTCTGATGGGCACATGGTCAGCTGTCCCATCATTCCCACTGTCTCGGTTTCCTATTGTTCTCCAATGGCCATTGTACTTATTGTTCCCATTGTTCTTTGTTTGTCGCTGCGCGCTCTATTGTTCTTGTATCATATAAATAGTGGCGCCTGGCAAGGAGAATCCCCAACACGATTTCTCTTTGGATTCTCCCTTGCCAGGTATGCCGGTCTTGTACCTAGCTACCACTATTGACACTTTGGATTTTCCCTTGCCAGAACTCTGAGATCGGGTCTCGAGGTTGCCCTTACAGTAATTAAGTATATACATGCTGTAAGATGTAACCATTCCCCTGAAACGCTTCGCACATGTTTCTACCCACGAAAAACGCGATATGACCATCGGGGACAGACACAATTCGACGCAGGGCTGATGCGATCAACAATCAAATCCCTCATGCTCTCTTTCCTTTCGCTGTCGTTCTGCTTGACCCTAGACTGTGAGCTCGGGATTAGCCATCCTCTGACACTTCAAGACATTAACGTTCTAGTTCTGGATGTGCTTGGGCCGTGCTATAGCTCAAATTTCCACTTTGGCTGCTCTATTTCTCTCCACCTCGACAACTCCCCTTGGCCCTATTTCCCCAACTGGCAGTCGCTTCGTGCTGCGCTCATCATCCCTGCTGACGTACTGACTGTTTTACATTTAATTCAATACTGGTCTTATCTCTAGACTCATTTTGTAAAAGCTCTATGTTCTGTACTCAAAATCAGCATTCTTTTTTTCATTTTGGCATCTCCGAGCTCACTGCTGCCTCGATCTCGCTCCGGCTAGGGTATTCAACCCTTTACATTGTCTCACATTGTCTCGAAAAAGTAATTCTTTGAATTATAGAAATTGACGCACTTCGAGTCCAAATACCCCAGTAACTCTATTATTGGTCAAACAATACCCAATAAAATTAAATTACTGAGAGACATTCAGAACCTTTGGGTCTCTAGGAACGCAAAGACACTATAGACACCTGTACCGCTAGCCCGATTTTTTTTGCTCTTGAAAAACACTTCCTTCTAATGAGAGGAGTGATCTCTCAAGAGGGATTGCCCATAGCTGTCCAACTGAGTGAGTAATGGGATTTTGACATCCCCCAATTTGGCGTAGCCTACAAAAACAAATGTATCATATATCGAAAGCCCTTGCGGCGCATTCTGAGATCCACCGGTGCAATGTGTATTTGGTCAAGTTGAATTTTTGCACCTCAAACTGCAAGTCCCCTAGTCTCCAATCCACACTGCTATGTGTCCATCCACTGTATCATATGGTGCTCCCAGTGTCTGATCATCTGCCGAGCCGGAAATAAGAGCCTTTGACATCTTCTCCTTCAGAGCGTCGTGCTCAGAGACCCAGATGTAACAGTCAAAATTTTGGTTTGGCCTGACCCGATTTGCATGCTAGTGCACTTTTGATGGTGACTAAGCTGCGTGCACCATAGTGGATTCAAGTAAAAGGTAATATATCCCTTGACACGCCTACAGAGGGTATGAGCGCGCAGCTGTACGGGGAGAGACAAGGGACTAGTCGGAGGTCGAAGGGAGTGGGCTGCGGCTCTGGCTTGCGCAGTATTGTGTGTGGGATTCTGATCCTAAACACCTTGGACACCCCACATTTGTACCTCGAGAGGTACCTTTTTGAGGCCCAAACAAGGTACCTCAGTGGTAGTGGGCGGCTGTGGGCTGGGCGGCTGCTGGGCCCCCCCCAATGCTCTGGGCGGCCCCACTCAAAAATCCATGGGCGGCCAGTGGGCGGCCTTGGGCGTGCCCATGGCTCCCGGGGTCCTGATAGCGCGCGCAGCGCCCGAAAATTTTCTGTTTTTTTGGCCTATTTGGAAAGTAAAAGTCATGTATATTTTTGCAACCTACGCAATAATACTGGCATAGAATGTAACATATGACTTGTATTTATGAACATATTATGAATGTAACATGACTTATTCTTTCTCTTAAGGATATATCAAGTCACTATTTTGTAGGCTTATGGACTCGAAGAAAAAAAATCCTTATCTTGTGCGCTTTATGACTTGAGTGAATGATGCATACAGATGTTTTTTATATTCTCTTTCGAACGTAGATATATTCTCAGCGACAGATGATTCCTGAGCACAGGAAAAATGTATGTGACATATTGACGCCTAGGCAAGTGTGAGCCCGCCCACAGAGTTATGGGCCCGCCCAAGGAAAGTGTGGGCCCGCCCGCCTATTGCCAAGATTACTATGGGGCCGCCCATATCGGTTAGATAATTACGGGGCCGCCCATATCGCTTAGATGATCATGGGGCCGCCCGCCAATTGCCAAGATAATTACGGGGCCGCCCATATCGGTTAGATAACTATGGGGCCGCCCGCCAATTGCCAAGATAATTACGGGGCCGCCCATATCGGTTAGATAACTATGGGGCCGCCCGCCAATCGCCAAGATAATTACGGGGCCGCCCACCAGTGCCAAGATAATTATGAGCCTGCTTCTGGACGCTAAGACAAGTAATCCCAAGTCTTGTATTATTTCATACCTTCACTAGAGCACTCGATTACAATTTTCTTTTGCCCGCTTGAGATTTACAGTGCTGACGTACAACAGAGGCCCATAACTCATTTCCATTTTCAATGGGCAATCGCCGTATCAGTAATTGTCCCAAAAGATTCCACTCTATGTGTTATGGACAGTACAGAGCAAATACGCTCTTCTCTAGTTGACAAAGGCTCGCTGACAGATGGTCGTAACGTAGGACGACTCGCTGGGCTCTCCTTCTATGTAATTGTCTCTCCCCACATTGCCGTTAACACTCCTGCCAACGTCGGTGATATCTGGAGGTAGCAACCCACTGGGTAAGTCACGATCTGTAATGTATGAGTAAACGCGGTAGCTTTCATGGCATAGGTAGCTCAACTCACCAGGGAATTGTTGTACGAGGCGCTCGAGCTTCTCTAATACCTGCCACAGTAAGTGAAATCTGACCTTCTCTGAATATTCCATGACTCTTTTCAGCACGTCGATGACTCTGCGGCACTCCGCCTCGTGATAGTTTCGTCGGCGAACCTCTTCAGGAGTACTGTAGGCTGGATCCCGAAAGTCTTGGGGCCCAAGATCCTTGCGAAAGGATTCCTTGTACCACAACATGATTATATCATGGATGGCAATACGCAGGTCCTGGCGCGAAGTTGGAAGGTAGAATACGTCGGGAAAGCTTTCGTCCTTGATGACCCGGTTCCTCGCTAGAAAAGAGTTCAATTAGCTAGCCACCACTCTGAGAAACCCAGCGGCAACATACCCGCGTGGAGGGGGCAGTTGCTGTTTGAGAGATCGATAGCGCCGGATATTGCGCATTGACACTGGAATGGCTGGTCAGTGCCAAATCTTCAACAGTAAACTATTCATTCCGCAGACCTTGCCGATATGATCGTCCCCCTCAAGTTCCACTGCGTCGCAGCCTTTACAAAGACTCGATGATGATTCGAAAGAACCATCCACAACCCGATACTCTGCCCCATACCATCTCGGGATATGCAAGCGACACTCAACGCAATCCACCCAAAGGTGCTTAGGCGAAGAGGCGCGATACTGCGTCAAGGAGATGAGTTGATACTGTTGAACCGCACAGCCCAAAATCTCTTTGCGACGTTCGCAGTCGTTGGTGACGAGCTGGACGTGGACCCGCAACTTCCGAGGGCGAATGACTCGCGCTATATTCTGCGGTATCGTGCTTTTGACGAGACAGAGGTCATTGCGCCCCCGAACGATGTGGGCAGGGGATCTTGGTGTGGTCGGCGACATGGAGGCTCGCATAAAGGAGATTCGAGTTCAGGGAGTAAGGGTGGAGACTTTTGACGAGCTTTGCAAAGAAGTTATTGTGACCGCTAAAAATGCATGTCAATCTCGATTAAACTGATGCGGATGTACCTCACCAAACAGCAGATTCCACGTATTCCTTCACCCCAAGGAGATACATAGTCACCCCACGCATACAAAGTTCTGTGGGTTTATAGATTACCATAGCCACGCGCTCGGCATGAAGGATATACAAAGCGGAAACACAAGCGACACAGGATGCATATGTCCATATGGATGGTCCGATTCGTAGTGCAAAAGGGGATAGTTTGTAGATTCGTAAAGGACCATGTGTCTGTCTAAAGCCAATCGGGATAGTCCATGTGCGCTGAGATACCCTGAAGCTCCCGCCAATCACCGGCACGCTCGAAGGCGTCCAGTTCGTCGTAGGGAAAGTATTCGGTATCTGTCCCAGAGTCGCTGTCTGATGCGATGTCCTCTTGATATGATGGCGTATCAGGCTCCTTCCAGCTGCCAACCGACGTTCTAGCAAACATGTCCTCGATGCGGACTTGGAGCAGATCTTCCTCAGACGGGCCCCATGCTGGCAACCCGGATGTGGGATACGGGACCTGACGTAGCGGTTTCTCCCATGCTGCAGCCAATTTTGTCAATTCAGACTTGCGAAGCTCGAACTGATAGACAATCGCAGCTTCACCTGCAGAGGGATAAGGTCAAACGGAGTCGAATACTGTGTGCAACGGCGACTGGCACCTACCGTCTTCCGCGGCCAACTTCATTCCGCGCGTCACCACTTCCCATTCCTCGGCCATCCACCAGCGCAAAGCCCGACATTCATGAAACAAACGCGGCTCCTCTTCGTTACAGCGGTCCTGCTCCAACATGGCCTGGATACCCTGACGAACTGCGTCACTTTTCATCCACAGTGGCGGCTCTGTTTCCTCGTCTGCCTCCATCAGGCCAACGTCAAGCCAGATTTCAGCATCGACATCCAATGCCCATATGTCCTGCTCAATGATTTCTCTAGGAGCAATTGCATTGCGTGGAGCACGACCAAGACGGATGAGTTCTTCCAGTTCTTTGCAGAGCCTGTTGTATAGCCTGCACACATCCTTGATACTTCGGTCGCGGCGTAGCACAGCATCCTCGATGTGAGTCGTCATTTTAGCATCTGAAGTCATTTCAGACCTTTGCCATAAGCCGACAACGGAATACGTGACCTGCTTTGTTTCGATGGAAGTGACGCTCGACTCTGTCGAGCTCAAACTTCCTCTGCCGCAAGCGATTGCGCAACCTTGTTTTTGCGGCGGCGGTGTTGGTGCGAGTCTGGATGTACTTGCTCTTCACCAGCTTCGCTAGGTTCGCCTTGTCTTCGACACCCATGACTGCCTTCTGCCTCCGCACTGATTCCGCAAGTTTCGATAACTTGGCGTCTGCTTTTGCGTACTCCTGCAAAGCGAAGTCGACATATACGGGGTCTGCGTCCTCCTTGTAAATGGCTTCATTCCACTGCGACATCTGGTTCTTCAGCCTATCCATTGCCACTGTCTTGCGTAGTACATCTTGTATGGCGATTTTCCCTGCGTTCTTTGATTGTCCTGTAGTCACGATAAGATTAGATAGAACGAGCGATGACTAGATACGAGAAGATGAGATAAGATAAACACGTACGAGGTAACGGCTGTGACAAGGCTGTCACTTGTTTGGCATGCTCTGCACGCAGAACCGATAGAGAATGCTGGCATTCAGCCAGAGCATTCGTAGCGTGCTGTCTATGCTGACAGCAATCAGCGTAGCGCCTGGAGAGCCAGCTGCCCAATCTGAACAAATTCCCCTTGTGTATGTGTATGATCTGTGCATCCAGCGTGTAGCGGCGCTTGTGATACTGGATATGGATCATCAGCTGGCATCAGGAGATGTAAGGCAAGCACGCACACCGCACACACGAAGAAAAGAGACAAGATGGCTGAGGGAGTGCCAGAACCGTTCTAGACCCTCCCCATCCAAATAACCGAATAGAGTACGGCGTCTTGGATGATAGACTGCTTGGCAGGCAGCTCCATGACCGTACGAATGCAGGACAGAAACAGCCCACTCCAGTCTGGCCATGTATTCTGGAGGCAAGAAGTCGTATTTGACTGCAGATCGTTGTAACTGGCAGGCAATGTCGTAAAGGAAGCCAACGACAAAATCAGTCGGCAGGTGCTGGAACAGAGCTTCAAGTAGTGCAAACATGTAGAATTGTCGCTCACCGGGTGTCTTAATGTTTGCTAGGAACAGCAGGTTATCGTGACGACACGACAAGCCCATCAGTCCCTTATCGTCAAAGAACTGGGAACTGGTCTTCGCTCTAGTCTCATCCGCTGCAGCGAAGGAGCGTTCGCACTCATTGAGCACGGATCGAGGCAGAGGAATGCTTGGTGCTTCGATCACATCGTCATCATCAACTTCTAATGTCGGTGCAGCAGCTGTGTTCGGGGCGGAACGAGCAGGGCGTTTTCCTTCGACCCAGTCAGCCATCTTCTGCGTCGCTTGGTCGGGCAAGAAAGACGACTTGGGATGCATGCGCTCCGGATCTCGACAGCCTCGGTCCTTGTTCCGTTTCTGCGTGAAGCATGCGTCTCCGCAAACAATGCAATCAAGAGCTACCCGCATGTCCTCCCATTTGCCGCCGAAGCAGGCGGGACATCGGCTCCGGAGGTATTCACTTGGTCGCGGGCGATCCTCGGGCGGTGTGAATGGATAGGTGTGATGTGATGACTCGGCCACAGGCGATGACGGCTCCGGAGAAGACGCTGGTGGGCGACTGGGCGATGAAGGCAACGACAGTCTAACCGGAGATGATGAAGACGGCAACAAAGATCGTGTCGGAGATGATGGTTGCGCTGCTCGAGTGCGCTTAGTTGGAGAAGCCGGCGGAGAAGAGTCCCACTCCCTGCGGCCTCTCTTCCGCGGAGATTCCTGCACAGAGGTTCGTGCGATCATCGGACCTGGTGTGGTTGGGCGTTCATGGCTGTCGTCCTCATTCTGGATCCCCTGCCGCACGGTGGCGAGGATGTTGTCGATGGCCTGATCTGTACTATGGCGCAGCATGACATAGTACTCTAATGCATTGCCAAATTGGCGTCGTAGGGATTCCTATGAGGAAAGCATCAGCGCTGGCTCACAGATAGCGAGATAACATCCTTACACGGTTGGGCAGTTTGTAGCCTAGCCTGTCCAGGCACTGCTCAATCGTTTTGGTCAGTGCACGGTTGTTCGGTGCCTGGTTGAGGAACAGATCCTGCGCGAAATCTAGCACTCGCATGTCCACACCCAGGTGCGGTTCAACGGGCAAGCTTGGAAAGAAGCCGCGGGCAACAAGCTGCTGCGTTGCTGGGCGACAGGGACAGTGGTGCAGTGAAACCTTGTCTAAATCTGCAACCTATAAGCAGAGAAGATGGACGTGCACAAAAGTACCTACCGTGCCAACGAAGGAGAAAGACCTGAATCTCTTTCTGTTTTCCGCAAATGCAGGAGGCCGTAGACGGAGTTGCACGATCAAGGTGACGCAGGCGCTCCGTTCGGTACATGAGATCCACGTAGACAGGCAGTAGGGCGGGAATGGTTTCCATGACCCAGCGCTTAGCCTGCTTCTCTCGGGCCACAGAGTGCGCCGTCGGGGCAGGTACTGCATCGGAATGCAGAGGCGTTATGTAGTGAGCTTCATCGTATACTCCATTGTTGACATGCAGGGATTCCCGGCCCTCGAGATTCTCCAGGCGCGAAGTGTTCAGCGAAAACCCGACCTGACCAGGTGGGGCTCTGACATAGTCTTGATACAGTGTTACGCCGTCGGCACAATAAACGGGGGGCGGACGCCAAGCGCCTTGCCGCTGCGGCGGTCGTACACTGCTCAGCGCGAAGGCCTGAGCTTTGATGGGACTCTTCGACGAGTGACGTGGATTGGGCATCGCTGGAACTGTGCAGACACGGGCAGGTCAATGAATAGGCTTATATACTGCACAGTGAAAGCACTCACTGAGATGGAAGACGGGCCTGGCGCTGAGGTGGGAGACAACCGGTCGATGTGACAGCAACGGTCTTTAAAATCCCGTTAGCAGACACATTTTATTGCCTTTTGGCTTTCTAGCTTACTCGTCGCAGATTCAGACGCTATTAATTCTATATACCACGTATCACTTCTATGTACTCATGAGACATGACGACGAGATCGTGGACGTTGGGAGCAAAATGCGATTCAGCACTGCCACCATCAAACGATAACAATGACCACAACTGATGGTTGGCAGACCGGGATCGAAATCATGCCGGTCTGCCAACCATCAGTCATGCACAATGCCAAACACTCCGATCAGCGATCGGGATTTCGTCTCTTGCTCTTGAACACCATGGCTCGTAAGTCCAGCTCAGCGTATACCATAGTAGAGCGTGTACATAGTTTGTATTCAGTGTCGGGCTCAAGGCCCTATAAGTCATAAACGATCAAAGCCTGTTAAGTGCCAGACAATAGAAGAATTCAAAGGCGCGGATGAATCTATGCGTAAGTACTAACAGACGCTGCTTAGGCTCGCTAAGCCCCGCCGCTAGCTTCGTCGACCGTCTTCCGGACGCTGCGTGCCCTCACGCTAGCCCTGCGCCTCGTCAGATGTCTAATCTGGGGACAGTGAGTGTCGAGTTGCCTGGCTGCCCTCATTCTGAAGCGCCCTCAGCCTTGCCCCGAAGATTGCATGACTGACACACAATCGACGCGGAGATCACCAAGCGGATTGTTCACCCCCATTCCGGGTCGGCCAGAGACTCCGTTATTCCTTCCTTGCACGGTACGTTGAAATGCTGAGGGCGTGCTCACAAGTGAATCTACTATGAAAGTAAACCCAAATATAAAACACGTTCACACTCCTCGTAATCAGCTTCTCAGTGTGTGAAAGATGCGAGGGCTTCGGGGTGGACAGAGCACCAGTATCACAACTCTCAATAGACGCAGATCCAATAGTCGCGGAGACGAAGTCGACGACAAGAATTTATATATAGCAAACAATGGTGTCTCAACCAATATCTTCTATACGAGCACAACCAACACTAATCCAATCCACAAACAACAATATAACAAGTCAGAGCTTAATACGAAGTATTAAGATCCCTTGTAGCGACAGCGTCCAGATGGCGACGCAAAGCTCAAATATCAAGTCGACGTACTGCCAACCGATACAACCAATATACTGAGTCGACGCACTGCCAACTAGTAAACCAAAATGTCAAGTCGACGCACTGCCAACTGACAAAACCAAAAGTACTGAGTCGACGCACTGCCAACTAGTAAACCAAAATGCCGCGTCGACGCACTGCCAACTAACAGCCAATATCCAATGTCCAAAACCCGAGCACAACTTGTCGACGCGCTGCCAAGCAAGAAGTGTGGAACCAAAGTTCTCAAGTCGACGCACTGCCAACTGACCAAAACAACCCGAGCACAACTAGTCGACGCACTGCCAAGCTAGAGGTGTGGAACGATCTCAACAAAGCCCGAAGGCGACGACACTAAATGCCGCGACTAAACCAGATGCGGCGAATCCGACTTTCTGATGTCTCGACTCAAACTCAAATCACAGTAGCTACAAGTGCTCAGGGAGCAACTCGTCGCGACCGGGCAGGGGTAGCAGAACTTCTTAGGGTGGAATCACGCGGCACGCAAATTGTACAAAACAATCTGAAATGAGAGTGATTCACAGTCCGGGGGAAAGCTCCCCAATACAAAGAAACGACGTGCTACTTATACTGTCTACGACGCTGCTTAGTAAAGTCCTGTACAACTGCATAGTAGCTACGCTATCTAAGATCGGTTGCCTTTTAGGGTAATTGAAAAGTTGAACGATCGGACAGGTCCTGAGTGATCAGGACCCCGCCCCATTGTCCATATGATACTTTTGATGTGGGTCAACCCACCGCGTCATACTTTTGGAATACGACGTGTTGGATTGGCCAACGGGTATGTCTTGGCAAGTGAGACCAACGTGGGCGCCCCAAGAAGCCGTATGGCCCTAGGCACACCAGTCGTCCCCCACATGGTTCGGTTCACGGATCTAGCCGTGTCGGTTTCTAGTGTGTTTGGGTATGGACGCGACTCGCCGTGACACTTGGAAGTGTCACCGCGACGCGTCCACAATGTCCCGTGATCGAATGGATCCTGACATGTGACAAGTCGTCGTCGTGGCATGATCTGAGGAAACGTCCAACTCAAAACCGGGAGTTGCCGCGACAAGATGGTTTAAGTCTCGTAACGCCAAGTCCTGTCCAGTTGTAGTTCTATTATTGAGAACGTCGCGCATTGCTCAGCCCTTCAGCCCAAGTTCCCATCTGCAGAGAATGACCCTTTTCGAGAAGTCGACGCAACGACAGATCCCTTTTCGGGGAATGGTCGCGGTCCAAGCGTTCGTCACTAATGGCCCTGAGCCTGGTGTAGACCCATAAGACCAGTTCCACAGTAGTGGTCTGACTGCCTTGCTATCGTCGACACTATCCACAGTCGTCGACTGGGCAGTAGACCCTTAAGTCCTACTGAGCGCAACACTGTCAACCGCGACACGATACACCGAATGGTTCAAGAGTAAACTCTGTAAAAAGCGCAAAAATACGCCCTTACAGAGCTGGTGCAGAGCGCGTCTGGTAGCCAGCCTATCAACGTGCATCTGCTTCCTCTTTGCTGCTCGGTCTCAATACCACGCATAGCCCTCTCCTCCGCAATCTCCGATCCTGCGTGCAGAGACAGCGTCAAGATCCTTGGAGGAGGCAGCTCTGCCTGACAGCATCGTCCAGGAGCAGTCGCATCTTGCTGCAGCTCTCGTCCTACCGACCCCCGATGTCTGCAAGCCCCAGGAGTCCGCAGAGGATGGTCAAGATGAAGACCATCGTCGGGATGATCAAGTGCGGGAGAGTGGACCTTCGGCTGCAAGCTCGGTTGCGAACGAAGGAGAGGTTGAGTCGCAGGGGCATGAACCTGTGCTAGTGGAGGGACTGATTTTCGGCCACCCAAATGACAGCCTAGGTGGCGAAGCGTCTTCTGTACGGGCCTTGTTATGCTCACAATCCCATGGTCACTAATCACTTAAGCAGCCCACTAAACACGTTGTCGATGTACCAGAACCAGTTGGCAATGCACCGCAACCATTAGTCTTTGGGAGATCGAATCCTATTCGCACCGGATTTGTGGAGGTAGAATCGGTGCGATATGATCGACTGACAGAGATGTATGTAGCTTATTACATCTCAGAGCATCTCCAGTGTGAGGAGCAAATCAAATCCCTCGAAGAAACGGCGTGTCGAATCAGAGCCCGCCTCCAGGAAACAATCAGTCATGCAGTACCTGAGCATTGAAGCCGATGAGACGGAGGGAGAGGAAGATCTAGAAGACGTCCAAGATGTCGATGTGGAGGACTGGCTTGTTACTGAAGACACCGAAGAAGATCCAGAATCTCGCGACAGCATCTACAACGAGCGTCCACACCTGGAGCTGGACATTTCTGAGGATCCCCAGACCTCAGGTTCATCCGAGCACGAGTTGCTTGAGCAATGGGCAGCCCGGTACTCCCGTACAAAACGGGCGGAGATTGCCTCGAGGGACGCAGGACCATCGCACAACGTTGATTTGCACGACATTTCTGGTCCGACCGATGAAGATATGGACCACGCGGAACACCTGTATCGCTTGCCAGACGACGCGCTTGACCCCCCGATGTATCCCCTTCTCGTTCGGCCAGGCTTTGAGCCTGACTTGACCCGATTCCTCAGTCACTACGACTTCCTCGACTCTGTGTTTTACCCTCGCAAGTTTGGAGGTTTCGTCTATGTTGAAACCCGCCACCGTGCTTGGCTCTCCGAAGTGCTTGATCGCTGGCAGCATTCAAAGCCGAATATGATCAAGTCGCCCTTTCGCGGGGGGGACAAGGTTCGCGTCCTGTCACTATCCAAAGAATGCGAGTACATCGGCGTGTTTGTCCGCCTGGATGAAGGAATCTTTGCAGGAGATTTGGCCTACACCTGCTGGGCAATTCGCGAGAATATCTACTGCTTGGTTGTTCCTCGCATTCGCAAGCCAGGCCAGAAGACCAGACCAGACCCCATTCTCTTCGGCAGGCAGCGCGTGCAGGACATGCATCCCGGCGCGAAAATCGATTACGATTCTGTGGACAATCTCTGGGTGTGGAGAAACCGCCGTTTCACTGCCGCTGGACTTGAAGTGGTCAAATTAAAGGACTTCGGTTTACGCGAACAGGGATCACCGCCCACGCCAGATGAGCTCCAGTGGTTTCGTATCGCACAAGAGAACCTGCTCCATGTCCCTTCTCATGTCCCGACCAAGACTGGGCTGCAGGTGGGGGATCTCGTCGTAGTCGACGACGACGAATCCAAATTCAACTGCCACACCGGAATCCTGGTCTGCATCGTCTCACAAGGCACATTCGAGTCTGCTCTTGGCGCAGTCTTCGCAGACTACAACGGCACCGACGTCGTCTCGGCGCGATCCATGAGGCGCAAGGAGTCGTTTGTTGTGCCGATGGCCTCCTTGTATCGACATGTCCTCTGCCCGCCTCGGTCGATCAGTGACCACTCACGAATCAAAGTATTTGGGCATTCGACATTTCATTTGGCTACAGGTCTAGCAACGGGGCTGGAAACGTCATCAGAAAGAGTTGATTTTCATGGCGTCAGGCCCAATGGAGAGCTCTGCCGAGGGACAGTCAAACGATCCGAGTGCATTATTGAGTTTCGAGCGGGAGATGTAGTCCAAGTCATAACCGGGCCTCAACCAGGCGTTATTGGCTTCATTGTCGCGGTCAACATGGGTGGGTCTGTGGATATCTACCCAGTGAGTCGCCTACACGAAGATCGTCTGTCTGATACTCAGTCGACGTAAACAGTGTGAAATTGGGGAAATCCAGAAGCATATCGATGG